GAGAACTATCTCAAATACATAGAGATTATTCCTTGGAAAGTGCGTACGAACGATTTTTATTTACGGGTTGCGATACACCACAAAAAATGAACGAGTGAGCGCAGGTAAATGAATGTTTTAGTATTTCCCAGGCAGAAGCCAACCAATTTATTTATTGCAGTCAATAAACCGAGCAACCAGAAAAACTAAAATAAATTATTTACGTTCATAGGTGCAGCTTTGTAAGATGTTTTTTAAGACCCCTCGTCACGTTCGACTGTCGAACATAACAGCCCTTCTGTTGCGGTGACTATTAATGTTTAATGTTCCGAAACTTTTTAAATTTGAGAATTTATTACTAAACGGCGTCGATTTCGGCCTCATTTTGCAAAAGAAGTCGATATTTTGAGCCTAATGCGGACAGTTAAGTGTTTATTCTTCTGTTCGTTACAAGTTACGAAGAAAAGCTACTTACATTAAACAACTTGAAAGCAAGGGGCAGGCATTTATTTTAGCCTGTTTTATTTGGTTTTCAAGGTGGGAATTTCGCTTTCGACAGAGTAGATCAATTCAGGATATTTGTCTGCCTGGTTAATTGATAAAAATAGACTAAACAACATTAGTTTACTGTAACGAAAATGGTGTTCTTCGAATAGCCTTTTGCCATGCAGTCGCATGATTCTGCCACATTTTCCATTTTAGAACGCTACTTCTAATGTTGGACTTCGGAAAACAAAACATAAATAATTAAAGAAGTCGCTTTTTCGATGAATTGTAAGACTCGAATAAATAAAGGAATTGATTTTACTGTAGACTCTTTTTTGTCGTGGTCCTGCCGGTCAAATGACGAAATAGGTATTGACTCATTGAGTCTGATGGGGTTGGACGAGAAAAAATATAATTTGGATGGAAACGAACTCGATATCGAAGAAAGATTGCTTTGGTTATGGATACTCTGTTCACTCTCTGATCACCGTTTCTAAATGTGACGGATTTCAGTTATTTGATGCAAATTTTTAGTTGTGAAGCACTCTGTGTCAACAGTATTGCAATATATTATCCATTGTTTATTTCGGGTGTCTTCTTGGTAACGTCGTAAACAGAGCCAATGATCTTAGTTGAGTTATTGATTAATTGAGTTTTTATTTTTCAAGTATAAAGGTGCATCGATATTACCGGACATACATATGGTTTCAACAACATCTGTTCGCTCGCGAACCTTTCTCGAAGGATTTTACTGAAGCCATAAAAAGAGGCGACATTTTAAGGTAAGTGCAGAGAGATGGTACCCCGTTAAAACCAAAAGTTTGTTACTGAACTACTTAAGGGAAGAGACAACATGTAATTTGTTTCTACTCCGTTGATTGAACAAAATTAAACTCATGCGCAATGACCTATTCGATAAGTTTGAAGTTACTTTTTTCTACTATCGACAGAGCAAAATATAACTAGTGCGCCATGCACACTGTACCTCAGATTCCCATTTCAATCTCGGCTAATTTTCAATATTAGTTATTTAATCAGTCACCGAGATATTCGATCCCGGAGAACGATGGTCCCTTTCTCAACAAGCATTACGTAATCGCTTCGCGTAATAATAATAATTTACCAATTTATATAGCGCGTATTTACATGTGCTGATCAATAGCGCTTTACAATCATATGTTTAAAAGAAAACGAAAATACATTACCGTGAGAATAAAATAAACTAAGTTACAAACTGTAAAAAATACTTCTTAAAAAGATAGGTTTTAAGTCGAGATTTAAAACTGTTAAGTGATGTTGCTTGACGAAGCTCCACAGGTAGCTCATTCCAGAGTTTCGGAGCTGCTGCTGAGAATGATCTTGCTCCCAATGTTGTGAGCATCTTTCCCTTGGGATGGTCCAATAAGAGCTTACCAGTAGACCTAAGATTATATAATGAATTCGATTTTATACTAATAAGATCGCTAAGATAAGTTGGCGCTAGGCCATAAATACATTTGAAAGTCAAAAGTAAAATCTTATAGTCAATACGCAAAGAAACTGGCAGCCAGTGCAGCTCATAAAGCGCCGGTGTAATGTGAGAAAACTTTCCAAAGCCAAGAATAAGTCTTGCTGCTACATTTTGTACACGCTGTAATTTAGCGATCTGCGCATTTGGTAAGCCAAACAATAAACCATTACAATAGTCAAGACGGCTGGTTATAAAAGCATGAGCCAAAGTAATTAAAAAACCCTTCGACAGGTATTTCTTAATACGTCTCAAGTTATGTAAATGATAAAATGCCGCATTACAAGCCTTGTTTATATGATCAGTCATGCTTAAGTTGCTGTCAAACCAGGATCCAAGATTTCTAACACATGGGCTTGGACTGATACGATTATTGCCCACAGTTATGGAACACGAATCTAATTTATCAAGCTGTTGTCGTGTGCCGACTAACAAAAACTCCGTTTTATCATCACTGATCATCAACCGATCTTGAATCATCCATTTCCTCACCGCGTCAATGCACTTTTCCAGCTTGTATAGAATCAGCTTGAGCAGTGTTGCCGAGTGGTTTAAAACTCAGATACAGCTGCGTATCATCAGCAAAACAGTGAGCATCAGGAAGATAATGTTCCACGATCTTAAACAGCTTGGACGCATATATTATGAATAGCAAAGGCCCTAAACATGAGCCTTGGAGTACCCCGCAGTTCAAGTCAAAAGGACGAGAAAGAACTCCATGTACAGAAACGCGCTGACTTCTATCAGACAAGTACGATCTAAACCAATTCAGAGCAGTCCCACGTATGCCAACCTCGTCAGATAGCCTCTCTAAAAGTATTCGATGATCAACAGTGTCAAAGGCAGCACTGAGATCCAATAAAATTAACATAGTGACATGTTGAGAGTTCATCTTTAACAAAATATCGTTCATCACCTTGATAAGTGCAGTTTCAGTGCTATGGAATTGCCTGTAAGAAGATTGAAGCGTAGGAAAGGAAGAGACAACTTTAAGGCGCTGGTTAAGATCTTCATCGTAACCTGAGGTCGAGTCGTGTTCACACCATAGTACGATCACGTACCCATTCACGAATTTTTGCCTTTTTTTTCTTAGTCGACTCCGATTGCTACTGACTAAATTTTAAATGCCTCGGTATAATTATGGAATTAAGATATCCATCTCATTTGTTCGTTGTTAAGGTCCACCATGAGTGTTCTTCGCCATCTACAAACGATGTTGTTGGTATCTCAGCTCACTTACACCAAAGAGGCGCAGCCAACAGTAAATTGTCAAAACTTCAAGTTTCTTATCGATGAAGATGTCGTCTATAATCACATTCTTGAGGGTCACGTGTTTCAAAGATTGACAGTCTACAGCGCCACTCAGTGTCACATGAAGTGCAAAGATGACTGCCTGTGTGTATCCATGAATTATTTCCCTCTGTCTTAAGAAAATAACTGTGAGCTCAACGACGGTAATAAAGACATGGAGCCAGCGGCGATGAAATGGAGTGAAGGAGGAAATTATTATGATTTGGTGAGAAGCTACACGGTGAAGGTGAGAATCGTTTGTTGTTGATAGAGTTGTCTTAGTTTTTCTTTTTTTATTTACTTTTTTATCATAACATAGCGCGTGTACATGACCTACCTATATCCTAAGGGAGCTACCGTAATAAAAATCCATGTTACATACCTAGACTTTCACTCAACAAAACGAGGACTGTGATTGGTTGATTCTTGGTCACGTGCCCTTAGTCAAATTCAAATACATCCCGACCGTGATACAATTGCGCAGTTGTTGCCCACACGCCGAATACAACAGCATGTTTTTGCCATACGATTGTCTAAGGGAAAGTCTAAATATATAACAAAGTACTTAATGTATATTTAGTGCACGTCAGTACATCCATAACATGAAGTGTGCAGTTTCACTTCGGCTAAAAGTCCAGTCAAGTTTAGCCCCGAGAATTCAAAACTATCACTGAAGATTGTTTTTTCGTTCTATCCCAATTGAGTCAGACCTTTGTATCTCAAAATGAAAACAAAATATGCTGAAAAAAAAGTCGTTTCGAAAAAAAATAATGAGCATGTAGCTCTTCGAGCGACGTAATTAGTTTCGGAGTTGACAATACTTTATTCACAAACGCGATGAGATTTATGGCTGACAACAGAACTGAGTTTTCTGACTTCAACTAAGGCTTTGCGACGCTGGGAACTCTTCATTTGAACGGAAAATATTATTTTGAAGCGTTGTTATGTACCAAAGTTTTGTTCAATAAAAGATTTTGTTTTGAAATCGAACGATTTTCAGAATTTTTAGTTCAAGGCTAAGCAATTTTTGGGTAGTAAATTTTAGTAAACAGGCGTATTTTAAGCAGCGTAGATCTACCACAAGCGTCTCGTAAGAAATTCGTTCGTTTTTGCTTTGGAGCAGAAAATTTACAATTCTTTGAATAAAGATTTGGTCTCGAAATATTTCTTGGTCGTTTTTACCTTGTCATTTAGTCATAGTTTTCGGGTAGAACACGATTACCTGGTAAATCGGACAAAGTTGTGATAAACTCTTTTTTTTCGAGCATAATTTTCATGCTATGTTATAACGAAATTTGTTCACGCTTTAGCTGTGCGTGTATCGAGATTTGGATGCACTTGGGAAGTTTGAAGAGCACTCAGGCAACTCTTACGCTTCTCTCGTGCTCTTAAAACTTGGTTCCCGCGTGCATCCATAATTTGATATACGCACAGTACGACGACCAATTTCTTTTGTACGTCCCTTCCCCCCCCCCCACCATAAATTTATTTCTGAATACCTACACCGCTGGACTTAACTGTAATCAAGGTATAGTTTAAGGAAAAAAAGGTTCATTTTCAATAAGGGTGGAGGAAGCTACATTCCAGGGATGCATCGCTGCGTTAATAGATGCTGCAGCCAGAATCCCTGCCTCAACGGGGGAGTGTGTCAGGAGATTTGTGTTAATCACAGCCTCAGGTTTAACTGTACCTGTTCTTACAAATATACTGGTAAGCGTTGTGGTCAGACTGCACATCCAAGAAACTGCAAGGAAAATACGATATTTTTGATTCAGCTAATAAACCGTTCTCTGTTTACTGTGACTTGCAGTCAGAACGTGGCTTTGTATGGGCATTGATACAGTCGTTATCCTTTGCCAATAAGGCCACATATAAGGATAAGGGGTTTGGCACAGATTTTCCTGTAAATGACAATAACAATGAGCCGGACTGGAACTCTTACCGCCTTTCCTTATCAGATATACAGTCTCTCTCAAATCACTCCACACATCTGAGAGTAACATGCAAGTTACCTGCAGATAGCCTGCAGTATACGGACTACGCACGCGCAGTTCTGGCAGGTCATGACATATTCGGTGACTGGGGTGGAGATTGCAAACTTTTTGAGTACATTAACATCCGTGGAATTAACTGTTCTGATTGCACCGCCTACACGAGAATGGCTCTTAATAGTGCTTGGTTCGTGAACAGCTTCAAAAGCAAGGAAAACGAATGCGATTTTAATGGGTCACTAGAAGCGGTTGACAACGAAAATAATTTTGGACGGTATCATTCCGGAGCGATAAATACGAATCACCGCTGCTCCTCTTCGGATCCTTCTACAACGTAATATTGGTTTGGGTTAAACATGAATAGGTTATTCTAAGTTCCAATAATCTACTAAAACTAGAATGAGTTGTGAGTATTAGATAAGGTTTTTGTTTTTCTTGAAGTATTCTATCTTTTATTGGTTGTGGTTGCTTTTTGTTTTGTTTTGTTTTTTCCAACATAGGCCTTTGGTTTCTCGGAAATGTTTTTTTTTTAAATCGAAGAAATTGCTCTTCAATCTCGTTACAGCCGCTTCCCATAAGATGTTTGGTAGTATGACTTTGAGAGAACGCTTTTTCAACGAGTTTTGTCAAACCGAAAAAATACAGACAGCCAATCAGAACAATATATGATATCACAGGAACTATTAGGAAATCAAAGAGAAACAAGTAAACCGTTGTAATCTGTGATTGTTTTTAGCTATGCATTGCTTAGGTAAGAGATTATCCCGAGTTTTCTATACCAAAAATGCAAAGCTAATGCAATCTTGGCTCCCTTTTGAAAACAGGAGCAAAATTGCTCTGTAGTAGTAGTGAAGTAATGATTCATGGCTTGTATGCGTCAGCTATCATACGAATATCTTCAAATACGCCTTACGAACTTCTATATAAACTTATATCGGTAACATACACATGATCCTAAATTAAATTAAGAAGCCTAAAAAATTGAAATATATTATCTTCAGGAGTTAGAACAATCAAGGGTAAACACCAACTGTTGCATAACTTAAGACGAAGACTAAATTGCACAGTTGCACTAAGTTTGTTCGAATAGGACTTGATAGCCATAGAAAGGGGCAGCATCACATTTCATTTAATCGCCTGAATGCTGTTTCATCAATTTATGTAACCTCAGATACTAGTTTGATATTTGTATTGAGAGTGAAAGAGAAATTTGCAGTTAAATGACTCGGAAACCGATCTCTTCTCCAGCCTGGTAAATACATCTCAGGAGTCTGCAGAATGATAGAAGTCAACTTTCATATTTTTGCACAAAGAAATCTTTACATCTTTGAAGTCGAAAACGGCTCACTTTGTATCTATTGTTAAGAGAACGAGTCCACTATGTACCTGGTCGAAGGTTTCGAAAAGTGGTTTCATAATAAAAATGCCCTCTCTTTCTCGCCACCCGGCTTCAGTAAAAATTGTCATTTAGGAAAGCTCCCTTTCGGGACAGATCTTACTACAAAAACTTTTAATTTCTCCTTCTTCTTTGCTAATTACCATCAAGCCTGGCTTGAACGTCCAGTTTTGTGTAACATTAGTGTACAGGTTTGCTTGTGAGTATTAGTATCTGTATTTATTTTGAATTTTATGACGTGTAGATTCTTTTTCATGAAGCTTTTTAAAACGGATAAGTACTGGTTAGTATCTGTTTGGCGAAAAAAAAACTTTACGGACGATCATCTTAACGCCTAGCTGCCAGTCTTCGTTTGGGGTGAATGACTACTATGTTCCTTATGTGCACATCTTTCTAGAAAAAGGTTAGAGTTTGTGAACGACTTTGTGATATTTTACAATTTTTTCATGCAATTTTTTAATTTATGAGTGAAACTTTACACATCGTTGAGCGATTGAAACTGTGAATGAAATATCAGTGGCAAACTGTGTCGATTAAAACAAGTTGGTCAAAAAACAACCGGTTCAATCATTCGTTCTCGCTTATCGATAAGTTGAGTGAGTAACGTAAGTAAAACTTTCCATCACTTATCAATTACAACGTGGCGCTGATTAAGAAAAATTCTCACATGCAGGCTTACGTTCTGGGCGTTGGCTCATCTCAGGTTTTTCCAAGCAGCACTTAACTGATACAACAATCATGTCAGTTTAGAACTAAATAATTGATTTGTCTACGTCCTTCTTTTTTGTTCATCTTGGTCGTTCATGTTTTCACATTTTCCCAAGGATCTGCTTTAGTGTTCCTGTCGCTATCATTTTTTTGTCCATTTACCTGATGTAAACAAAATATACAATGCACGCATTCAAAACTGAATTATACCTCAGAAAGCAGAAAGTAGCCGCTAAATACAAGAGAACAAGAATGAGGCCGTTCAGCAACAAAATTGGAAAAAAAATTATTCGCAAGCATCTCCTCAAAAAGGTTTCAGCTCTGTTTGTCCTCGGTGAGTTACGATTACATCTGGCTTCTAAATCAAGCATATTTACGTCACAAGTTAGAAAGTAACAACGAAAACGAAAAATTTAACCACGTAACATTTGTTAACATTGAAGATTTTTGAATGCAAAATGATTCCATTACACTAATTTTCACAAAAAATTACGGTGTTTGATTTATAATATCCTTGTTTATGTTGAATTTCTGCTATATGTATATTCTTTTTCATGAAGTTTTTTCAAATGGGTAAGTATTGGTTATTATCTGTTGGCAAAAACAACTTCACGGACGGTCATTTTAACACCTAGCTGTGTGTCTTCGTTTGTGTTGAATGACTACGGAAAAAAAAATAAAACAACTTAACGTCAACAAAAATGTCTGGAGAAACAGTAAAATTGCTTCGGGTGATATTTTATTTCGGTGTTTTTACCATTATTTCCAGTTTTGATTACTTGTAGACTACTCAATGGTGAAGTCTGACTTTAATCTCTACTCTAGTTGACGCTTTTAAATTGTGAATGGATGGCATAAGGTTTTGAATAATTCGTATCATCCGGCTCCTGTTCAAAATATACATAATGTGAAGGGAGTATCAATGATAACAAGTGTCCAGCAATATCATCTATGTTCCTTATTTGCACATCTTTCTAGAGAAGGGTTAGAGTTTGAGAAAGATTTTGTGATATTTTATCATTTTTCATATCAGGTTTTTCCAAGCAGCAGTTGACTGATGCAACAATCATGCAAGTGTACTCACCTCGGGTTTACTCGAACTAGCACCTTAATGACTTCAACAGCCTTCCTTCATGGTTCAACCCTGATTCATGGCCAAGAGATAATTGTGTAGATAATTATGACAATTACAGATAATAAGGGAGCTATGCGCCTTAATTTGCTACCGTTCGTTTGTTACATGTGATTTGTAAGGATGCCTGCTTGTATCTATAATCATATTTCCCATATTTTGAATCATATTTTGAAGCCATTAGCGATGAGATTTAGAGAAGGAAGAAATTACCATAATCAGGTGAGGAGCTACACTGTGCCAAAGTTGTAGTAAACTTAAGTTGTTTAGTCTATTTTATTCAATTCACTAGGCAGACGAATATCCTGAAGTGATCTAGTCCGTCAAAAGTGAAATTCCTATCATGAAAACCAAATAAAACAGTCTAAAGTAAATTCCTTGTAAGGTAACTGTCCAGTAAATTAAAAAGTTTCGGAACATTACACATTATTATGATAAAGTTCGGATATAACGCCTGCTGAAATTGGTTAAAAGAGCTTGCTCTAGGAGAGTATAGAGCATGGAGCTGAGCCAAAGCTGTCACGCTATCTACCAAATTGTATTATGTCCGACCTTTCCGGGACTTCTCTCTATCTTTTTTTCGATGATTGAAAGTGAAATTTCGGAACAAGCGAGACGGCGAGTAGCAACGGAGGAACCAAATCAAGGTTTTTAAACATGCCAGGCGCCATGATTTACTTTACTGAAACGTGTACAGAGTCGAAAATCCTCAAGTAGAAAACAAAATGGACAGACCGAGTTTGAAAGGGTTTCACGCTCAGTTAGATTGCAAGCTTATGTGCGGTAACAAAAATCAAACACAGCTCAAAACAGAACAAAACAGGAATGGTGAAAAATATAACCAAACTGGCCTACCTGTTAAAATTCATACGACTCATGACGGTGACAGAGCGACTGCGATCATCATGGCGATCTCCGGTCATCGCAATGAAGCAAGCCTCAGAAACTACATCGGCCGCCCTTCGAGTGAAAAAATAAGAGCTTGCTCTGATATCCTTTCTGATGCGTCGAGTGGAGGGCCACACCAGTCACTGCAGCCTAGTTTTACGGTGTTGTCATCCCGAGCGATCATCATGTTCCGGTGAATTCGGCTGTCGTTCATTCCTAAAACTTTTGCCTTATAAACTTTGTTTTCTACTTGTCATGTGAAAAAACTTGCTTGTTTTTATGAGCCACAATTCGGCAGAAGTTCACTAAACATTTCACTTTCAGATTCTGTAGAAGAGACTAAAAATCTTCAGGCAAAAGTGTTAAATTCGACCTGCCGAGCTATTTAAGTTTGTAAACTAACGCAGAATGTGATGGTTTGACATTTTTTACAGCTTTAGTCTTGTACAGCCAATCAGATTATTTGAATCATTCTAACAGGGATTCTGATTGGCTTATTGCTGCGTGCTTTATGAGAGTATAGAGCATGCTGACGACACTGATGTCCGCCTTGGAAATAAAGTTTGTTTTTAAAATTGAAATTAATGCTTGGGGAATTTAACGGATTCTTTCATTATAAAACAAACAGTGAAGCCTTGACTGTGCTCATACTGTTCTGTTGTAAAGAACAGAGCACAGCGTCTCGTGTTTCTCCCTATAGTTCTTTCGTGCTTTAGCCGCTTCCTGCGTGCTTCATTACAGAACAGAGCACAGTCCACGCTTCTCTATTTGTTAAATAGTCACCGCCACAGAAGGGCTCTCATGTTTGACAGTCGAACTTGACGGGGGGTCTTACTGTTTTGGAAAACATCGCGATTCTTATCTAAAACATTCTATAAAGCTGCACTTATGAACGTAAATAATTCATTTTAGTTCTTCAAGTTTTTCGGTTTAATGATTACAGTAAATAAATTTGTTGGTGAAAGTAATAGAGATAATGTCCACCACTATTCACCTCAACTTCAGTGAATAATTACTAACTGACTCTACAGACAGAACTTATGTGTTTTTCCAGTCTACGAATAGAAAATAAGATCAAAGTTTCAAGTTATCCGACTGGTTTGTACTCTATTCCTTTTCTTAAAACTGGAAAAGAAACCAGCCATACGGTTGTGAAATTTATGGGTGTGGCGAAACTTGCGATATTTTCATTCATCGATGGAAAGAAAGCTTACTTTAAGAGCTTTCATTAATATTCTATATCCTATGATCTTGTAGTAAATAGTAAAATACGACCCTTTTTAAATATTAAAGTGTGAATAATACAGTCCAATTCGTCCTTAGAGTTGAATTTGTAGAGTACAGAGACTCATAAGTGCATCGCTGAAGGAGGATCTTTTAACAATTGATGGTGGGTATAGTTTCCCTTTCTTTGGTTTTGTAACACAGAACGTTTTGAGATCTCTCTTATTTTCAAAACGCTTTTGAAACTTTTACGTTTCAAGAAACACTCCTCAACGATGGGCGATTTGATACATGAAGTTTTTGATAAAGTTCTGTGTGGTTGCCATTCGCCTGTCAGTATTTGATAAAGTTCATCGCAGCGGCTGTTTCACTGAGATTTGATATACTTCGACATTTAGCTTTGCATTCTACTGAAAGCAACCGAAATCAGCAATTACTGGTTCGTGTATTTGTTATATCAGTTCTATTTGCCAATATATCTCCCTCCATTGCAACCTGGGCAATGAAGAGAAATCAGCTTAGCATACCCAGCGTGGCTTTATCTCTACTAAGGCAGTCTTCATGCCACCATAACTTAAAAACTCTATAATATGTCGCAATAACCCTTTGGTGTTTTGTTACTTTTATTCAATTTACTTTGCATGCGAAATATATGTCAATAGCTCGTTCAAATGTTTGATAAATATTTAAAAGTGACCTACTCTCTCAAAAACTTTTTAACTTGAAAATCTGGCCACTTGATTTCAAGAGATAGTGTTCTTGGTGTTTTTAATATTAACAGATGCTAAGGATAAATATGTAAATTTTTAATTTCGAGGCATGTGCTACCCATAAATGTTTCAAAAGCTGAAATGTAAACTGAAAATAGCTTATGAAGTTCGGATGACATTCTAGTTTTCGCAAATTCACGACATTTCCATTTATCCGTAAAAATTTGAAAATTGAGAGGAAAAGTTTCGATAAATACCAAAAGAACATAATGGGATAGGGAAGGAGGCTCCTTGTCCAGGCCGTGGGAAATGTCAAATTCACTTACAATACAATGGATTGCATGGAATTTTTCTGGCTAAGATGAAGGCTTATGGTGTCAACAGTAGAAGTTGTATGCTTTTGAAAGTTTACTTACAAGGTAGGATGCAGCGGGTGAAAGTAGGTAATACAAGCTCTGATTGGCAAGATGTCAGGCGAGGAGTACCTCAAGGCAGTGTTCTTGGACCGATGTTTTTTAATATTTTTATAAATGACTTATTCCTACAAATTAAAACTGTACAATTAAATATGTATGCAGATGATGGTCAACTCTACCCTGCCGATACGGACTGGTATCTTTGGAAAGGCGTATCTCGCGTGAGGTAAGCTCAGCAAATGCCTGGTATGAGATCAATGGAATGATAGCAAA